ATGATTTTATCAGGATTGTCTGTAGCAGTACAATCCAATTCCCACCTTTTATGGGTAATAGAAAATAAAGCAGTATATCATAGTGGAAAGCTTTTCTACTCAAAATCCAGACCTTGGTTCTATTCCCAGATGGTCCTCGTGACTAACAAAGCATCTATTTCTTCCATCGCGGTGTGAGAAATTCAGATAAATGTCTTTAGGGAGCTTTCCAAACCCAAAATTCTAGGACTCTCTGAACTATAATTCTGCTTCAAATGACAACTGGCCTTAAGCCCACAACATGGGATGCCTTTTAAGATGGTTGGAGTAGTGGGAGGCCTGCTGAGCCCCTGGCAGCAGCTCTGGGACAGGGTGTGGTGAGCTATGAAAACCCAACCTGATGGGGGAAGAGCTGGATCGGGACACCCTTGCCCTCTCCCCTTTTCAGCCAGGGTCCAATTGCAAGCCTTCAACCACAAGGAGATGGAGGAGGCCTGTTTGGACGTGTACCGATTCTTGTTTTACATATCATACAGAGGGAGCCTGCTTATGTAGGGTCAGGTTCTTGTTTCCCAGCCAACCTTAATTTATTATATTAAATACAGTCTTGAAAATCAGAATATTGAAGAATTGGAGACAGCATTTGAATGACCTTGCCCTTACTACGTCTGTACTTTGTCTTCTTTTCCTCTTAAGGGTTCTGTTTGTAAGTAAATCAGTTGGACATGTATGTGTGCGGGTACATATGTGTGTGAAAAAGCACATGTATGTATGTGCCTGTGGAGGCCAGAAGTCAACTTTATGTGTGCTTCTTCAGATGCCATCCTCTTTACTGCTTAGACCCAGCCTGTCACTGGGAGTTGGAGTTTACCTTTTCAGCTAGGTAGGGATCTCCCTGTTTCCAGTTCCACAGAAGGCATGGACTAAAAGTGCATTTAGTCTCAAGTCCTCGTGCTTGCGTGGAAAACACCCCAGTCCCTCAACCAGTTCTAATCCACTGTGAAGCTGGAGTGCATCACCCTCAAACACTCATGAGGCCTCAAATACTCATGAGGGCTGGAATTGTAGTTCAATGGTAGAGGGTTTGAGTAATGTTTTAAGTCCTAGATTCCACTCAAAAAAAAAAAAGCAAAAATTCACCAAAACCTTGTCTAAAAACCAAATCTTCTTGGTCTTCTAAAGCTACTGTCACTTTCTTTGGGAAGTTAATTTGTTAATGAAACAAGTATGACTTGAATTTTGTTAATTAGATTATAAACGTTTTTGATGTTCTAATGCTGAGCCTAACTTCTGGGGTTTGTTTAGGTCACCCACTATCTAGTGTAGTCCATCCCTAACCACAACACCTGCCAGGAAACCCAGACCTACCCAGGGGAGTCCATAGGCTGGCCCTGCCTAATGGGAGTAGTGGACCTTAGGAAATATTTCCAAATGTAAATGGGAAGGGAGGCACTGTGGAATAAGGGGGAGTGACTGTATGGGGGATGGGAAGGCACAGGAAGTAGCACAGTGGGAAAGAGACCCAGGGACTGAGGGACTGTCCCAGCAAAACAGCAAAAACTCCTCCTAGCAAACTAGGCCCTGCTCTCTAGAAAGCAAGTGCTCCTAAGAATTGAGTATTTCCCTGTGGTATGCTCTCCAGAAATACTGCACAAGCTCTTCACTCTTTTCTTCCCAATCCTCTACAGCTCCCCCTCAAAAACAGCAAGGTCTTTCTGTATAGGCCAGACAGGCCTAGAACTATAGATCCTGTTGCTTCTGTCTCTTGAATGCTAGGACAACAGATGTGTGTCAGTGTGCCCATCAAAATATGATCCTAAAGATTCTGCATAGCATGTGGTAATAGAAGAAGTCACCATGTTAATCATTCTCTGGACAAATAAAATCAATAGGAGATATTATTTAAATAGTAGATAGAGAGATATAGAGATTTATGATAGATGAGAGAGAGAGAGAGAGAGAGAGAGAGAGAGAGAGAGAGAGAGAGAGAGAGAGAGAGAGTGTGTATATGTGTGTAAGGGGAAAGGTTATAAGGCATTGACCTATATAGTTAAGAGGCTGAGCAATTCCAAAATCTACCAGATCCTGGGGAGAGCTACTGACAGGCTCGAGATGTTAGGAAAGCCACTGTTTCTGTTGAATATGAAGGTTAGAAAACACCAGTATCACATTTTAGCACCGGACTGGAGAAATCAGGCCTTCAGTAGGTTGAATATGGCCCGTGTGTGTTGGGAGCAGTCTGCTTTACTCAGTTTACTTATTCAAATGTTGTCATTAGCTATAAGTACTCTCAGAGACAGACCCAGAAAAAACATTTTTCTAGATCCCTGAGCATCCCTAGGCCCAGTCAGTTTAACTCATACAATTAACCACCATAACCTCCACAGTCTTTTGAGCATGTAATGACATTCTGACAAGCTTAGCACTAAATACTCAGTCTTCTAGGGCATTATAAAAAGCACCCACTAGACCATGGAAATCCTGGGTGGTGTCCCAAGGCCATAGAGATACAAGTTAAGTAGCCCTTATCTGAAATCTTGAGATGACAGATTTTTCCATTTTTCTCAGATTTTGGAGTGTGTGTATGCATGTAAGAAGGATGACCTAAATGTAAACAAGACACATTTTATTTACCTGCATATTCATAATCAGAAGGCAGCTTTGTATACTATTTTTAGTGTGCCTGCATTATTTTCACTGTATAAAGATGTGTGGAGTGTTGTACTTGCGGCATCATGGTGGTGCTTAGAATGTCTCAAATTTAAAAGCCATTTGACTCTCCAGTGTCCTGATTAGGGATATCCATCCTGAAGCGTCACCATCGGCAGATGCACTATCTTCAGAACTGGTAGCTAACTCATCATACTGACTCAGAATAGGTCGATCTGCTCTGGTGGGTGAGTGCATGTGCCAGCCAGTCTAGGCTTAACCACAGACAGGCCTAGGAGAAGCTGTATAGTCAGCACCTAGCCTAACAGCTCTGCCGCTTTCCATGCTCAGTTATGATATTCAAGTATTAATAATAACACCTAACTCTTGGTAGTCAAAAAATTAAAGTAGTTCATGCATAGCAGCAGATATGTGTCTAGGTAGAAGGGACATGGAATATACTAAAAAATTGGCAATGTTTATAGCAGCACACTTTTTTTTAAATGTGAAATGCTATTTCAGCCTTGGCTCAAAATCACTTAACTTTGGTACAATTTGAGGGAAAATGTTCACCCAGAACAGTAACATGAACATATTCAATCGGCCTACACTTTGGATACACTAAAACCAAAACTTCAAAGCTTTAGCTGGCTTGAGGATGATGCCAGATTTAGAAAATGAGTTTGAGAAGATGAAATAGAAAGTAACACATTCTAGAATATGCATGGACCACGGATCGGCTGATTCACTTCACTACTTCTGTTCCGTTGAGTTTGTCATAGTCAAAAAACTGTCCATATTTTAAGTGGTTCTTTGGCATCTTAACATTGAAAACATTTGCAAACAAACCAGTATACCCCACAGCAGGCCATGCTGGAGAATTCCCTGTGAAGTTCTTTGTCAGGATTTAAGTTCCTTGATATGTTGGGTGATTGGCGCTTAGGGGAACTCACCTGACAGATGGAATATCACCCTTTGGGAAGTCACTAGGACTCAGGGCCCCTGAGACAGGTGACAAGCAGCTGAGTCACATAACTATCTTCTGTACTTGTGCTAATCTCTGAATTGCACAAACAGCCATATCATTCAATAAGAGATCTTGTAACCGCTGAGATACGTAGTGTGCATGGCATGAAATGGGTATATAAGGTGATACATGAAGAATTCCCTTCAGTATTTGTGGTTAACCTAATGAGTGCTCCAGCATCATTAAGGGGTCATATAACCTTCTTATAGGGTAAGGAACCCAAAAGAACTGGAATAGAATATCTCTGACTCATGGTTCACTGTTTGCCTGTATCAGTTTGGAGGTATGTCAAAATGTCCATATTACCATTAACTTGTACTTCTGTCAATGATTGTTTTGTTTTGAAAAGTAGACCCTCACATATGCAAGTTCCTCTGTCTGAAAAGCCTATCACTGGATACATATCCTGACCTAGTTTAGAAGCTGATTATACTGGCCCATTTGATGTTACCTTAGGAAAAAGCTTCCTTTAACTAAAGAAGAACACTTTCTCCATTTACCTAGTGACTTAAGATAGAGGCAGATGGAATGGAATGGTTCAAACTCAGCATCGCCAAGTTTACTGTGCTGCTCTCAATGGTATGACTTGTTTGGTAGTTTTGCAATGGGGCTGCCCTGTGAATACTTTCCTTCTCTCTTGTTCCTATCTTGCAAATATATTGGCCAATTTATATGCATTGGTCTGTTTATATTCATTCTATGTATTTGAAAAATTTCAGGGAAAGAAATTTGATCATGCTACCTGTATGTTATTATTGGTTTTCTTTGTTATTCTTAAATTCCATTCTTAGCCACGGTTATGGTGGCACATGCTTTCTTCGGATATTACTATAAATTTAAAATGCTTTTCTAATCAAAAGGCTGTTAGAGTGAAGCCAGTTTTAGTCCATTATGAGACTCTGCACTTTTTCTTTTCAGAGAGCTAAACGCAGAATGCATGGAGCTGTGCCTCCTTGTATTTCCCATTATTTTTTCCTTTCAGAAAGCTTGCCATTCATTTAATACTTCATTACAGCCCAACTGCAGTATGTATACATGGCGTGCAAAATGAGCCATTTTGTTTTAAAACAGATTGCAGATGAAAGGAAGCCATTCATTTCTTGCTTGCTTGCTGTAATTACTAGAGCACTAATTACTCCAAATCACTGACACGCAAGGTCAGGAAAGATGACAACAGAAACATCAAAGGAAAGATGTGGCTCACTTGCTATGACAGATTTTTCATATTCTCAGCCGTGCTAGTTTTTTATGGCTACTGTTTTCCAGTTTGATGGTGGGAGGTGGGGGAGAAACACACACACACGGAGTCAAGATTGCTCAATGTTTACTATTATTTCATTCGCAGTTTGACGGGGAGAACATGTATATGAGCATGACAGAGCCGAGCCAGGACTATGTGCCAGCCAGCCAGGTGGGTTAATTAATCTTCTCTGCCTTGTTTCAAACTGTAATTAAACAAATTCAAAGAGTTGCATTGCAAATGAGTAGCACTATCAGTAACTGCCGCAATCAGGAATAATCATAATTTATAAACAAAGCATTTAAGCCTTGTTTCCAGTTAATGAGATGGAGCTGATAAAACACCAGCTTTGGCATTTGTTGAAGGATGCTACCTTGCTTCCCCTCCAGAATGGCAAGCAGCTGTTTTGCCAGCATGGGCTTTCCTAAACAGTTGTGTTACCTTTAGGAAATACAGTCTTTACAGGTGCAAGTTATTTGTGGTTCTGACTGTGGGTGAGTTTATCATTGTAAGCTACACATGCCACCAATAGCTTCAATTATCAACTGTTTAGGGCCACTTTCAAACCAGCATTATGTTCATCACTGAGGGATCATGGCTGGTGAGTCCTAGACAACCGCTTTTAGGACCTTTTGGGGGGCAGTGGAGAGAGTGGCATTTAGGTCCCTGATCACAAGCATGATTGAAATCTTTCAAGGGCACCTTTGTGTCCATTTCCCTAGGAAAGGTTGACAAGGTATTTAATCATGAGAAGTGACAACAAAAGTGGAGCGAGGATGTAAATGGTCACATTTATAAAAGTAAATGCTTGGCTATTTATTTTTAGATACTTAAAACCAGGCCCTCTAATCCAGAGAGAGCAGTTAAAGCAAAATTATAACTGCCCTACGGTGCCAGGATAACATAGAATATCAGAACGCTATAAGCAAAAATAAATAAGCGAATAAATGAGAGTAGGGAGAATTCACAGGAGCATTTGGTGGACATGAACCTACTTTTTCTTTAATAGTAAAAATCACATTTGCCTGGGATTTCACATACCAGTCACTAAACGCATAAACTCCCAGGTAGTAGTTTTCAATGCCTATTTATTTGCCCGAGTTCATTTGATCACTGAGAGGAGATGGGGTAAAAAAGGACGGTGTACAAAAATACTTCTTTCGTCGTGGTCGTCGGAAAATGCAATCTAATGCATATTAGGAGTGTTCTCTTTGAGCCAATGTCTCCTGCTTAACTAAAAACAGGCAGGCACACATCTCCAGGAGCTCAGCATTTATTTAAAAGTCATTGTGACCACTGCCTTGTCTGGCAGACATTCTGGATGCTCCGCTGTACAATCCAGCCATAAAGGTCATCATGACAGTGTAAGACCTGGATTCTGCAGGCTTCCAATCTATTGAGAAGATCAGTGTAAGAATGACTCCGACAGGGAAGCTTTGCATGTGGAATTCTTCCTTTGCTGAATTCATTCTGCTAAGTACCCTCCAGGACCCATAGGTAGTTCTGAATAGGACTGTTTGATTAAAAAATGAAAAATGTTACTATTAATTTGCTTCTAACCATCAATCCCCAAACTGTACTGACAAGTTTAGTATTACTATTAGATTAAAGCAAGCCGGTACCATCTCTTTGGGCCTTTAGGGTTTTGAAGTGTGAAGGCTAATTGAATTTGTTTGAAACAGTAGAAACACAAACTCAATAAATGATTACTGTTATAAAGCAGCTGCTCGCTCGCAGAGAACCATTACGCTCGTCTTAAGGAGTTTGGGATAAAGGATGGCAACTTCAGAATATATGCATCTTTGCAATTCAGCTCCCTAGATTTGTAAATTCAACCACAGTGTGGAATATTAATCCCTTACCAAAATCAAACAACCAGCTTTGTTTTTTTTTTTCTTAATATTTTGGTCAGGAGTACTTAGAGTGTTTCCAATACAGTGACTGTTTATAATGAAGGAAGAAAGAGATCCAGATAATTTTGTGCTTTCTACAGATGTGGCAGATTTGTGAGCCAGGAGCAAGGTGTTTTTTTAAATAATGCAGGATATGTGAAAAGGTTTATTTTATAATGAGTCGTTTTAAAAATTAGACTAACTAAAGGTAATATATACCCTGGAGGCAAAAAACTTCACAAATTAGTGGCCTTTGCTAAATTTTACACTTAACATTCTTTTTGTTTCCTGCAATATACTGTGTTCAAGAATTCATTACCTGGTGTTCTTCTGGGGAATTGTAATCAAGGTATCCTTTAGGCGACCATAAGTGAGATCGCAGTCATCCTGTAGGAAAGAAAGGAGTTTTGTTCCGTCTCCTAAAGAACATCAAGCAGCTGCATAGTTTAGTAATCCAGGACAGCTTGCCTCATCACATCACTCCACGTTGTAATTCCTGTTTAGTTTCCAGCTCCGTGCCTGCTGTGGGACTTACAGACGATGTTGCTAAGTAGCAGCATATGCAACAGCGTTTTTGCTGTGATGCTTCTGCAAGCATATAGCATAATCCTGAACTTGAGATGATTTTTATAGAAAGCCTATGCTGGAGCTGCTCCAGAAATGAAAGTACACTGTAAAAATTAATGATAATCTTTTAGACCGTCCCAAAGGGCCCCTCACCCTATCTGCTGAGTGCTTTCTCTGCCTCTTAAGCTGGTGTATACAGACCCTTAACATTTTTGCATATGGCTTGGTAATTGATAGGCAGGTTTTAAATTGAATACACCAGGATAATAAAACATGCAAGTATGTAATAAAAGCCCATAACATTGCCACTGCACCCTGGCACCATGCTTGGAAAGCTGACTATTTTCTGCTCTAACAGGTGTAACTGTTCTGGGCACTCGGGACTTGAATTTAAACACCATTTAACTTGTTTTCACCCTGGACATAATCATCTTACTCCGTGCAGTGCAATATTTCTTTTTGTGTGTTTCCAAACCCTGTCTGAAGGGACCATGTTGCTGGACAGCTCATGACCTTGCAATATTGGGCTTGTCCAATTTGAGAGGTGTGACAAATCTATAGAGGAGCCAGATGAGAAGGGGACAGAAGTCCCTAAGAGACCTCAGCCTTCTTGTCATGCTCGAGTGAGATAACAGTGTTAGACTAAGATACAAAGGAGCAAACACATAGCAAGCACAAGTAAGTGATCCAACATGAACACTGCTGTTAACCCACTTGAGATCTTCCCAAGTGAGTAGATGATATTCTTGCCACACACATAGATAAGGGATCCTCTGTGATGCCACATTTATCTGCTTCACAGCAGTCACCATTTTTATGTCTATATGCCCTACATCGTGATGCATATCTTGAATAGATACAACAAAATTTATTTTAAAATTTATCTAGACCGCTGTGCCAGAAAGCATGGCATGGTGGTGATGAACTGGGCTTCCTGCCTGAGTTGGATTTCTAGCAGAACCTTCTCAGGATTCTCAGAACCACTTTCTGTGGAGCCCTCCTTGCTGCTCATCACATTAAGCTCTTCTCTCTGGCTCCCACCAACAGTGGGAGCCTCTTAGTTGTGTAAGGAGATGTCGGTGACTCTCTGAATTAAGTGCATCACAGGGCTGGGCATCATCTGTTTTTCTTCATCAGAGTGGCCCCTAAGATAGTCTATCCTTAGATCCCTGTCATTGCTTCCCATTCTTTCTTCTTCTGCGAGCATTTCAGGATTATTCCTTTTCACATTACATCTCCATCCTCTGCTCCCTGATATTCACTCCTAGAGACAACATTGTGATTTCGGTTCCTGGTTCTGCTCCTTATAGTGACAGGTCTGTGTGAAAAGATGGGGAGGATGGGTTGTCTTTATAAAAGAAACAGTTCTTTGCTGGGAAATTTTCAAAGGTTTCTCTGATACTCAGTAATGGAGATGTTTAATTTTCTGAAACTTCTTTTTTTTAGAAATTACTTCATCCCTGGCCTTGACCTTCAGAACACTACAGTTTTTGTTCTGCATGATTGTCTGCTCCCATCCCTACCCACCCTGCTTCCAGCATCCCTTCTTCTACCCTTTCTTCTTTTTCTCCATCTGCTGCACTCCTCCCTGGGAAGTTATCCTTTGCTTGAATGGCTTGCCTGTACTTACTCGGAGCCTCACACTGCACCCTAAATGTTAAGCATCCAGACTAAGGTCATACTCTACATTCTTCTCATCTGATCCATTTCTCTCTGCCTCCTTCCACCTTCCACCTACACTGGAATTCTGTGTCTTATCAGCTTTCCAAGTTTCAAGGTCTCAAACAAATAGTCAAAACTGTACTTTAGATGACTGTCCCTAGAGGTCCAAATGTCATCTCCATGCTCTCTGCACAGTGGTACTATCTGGAAGGGAAACAGGGCCAAGTGGGAGATCCTTGGGTCATGGGAGACACACCCTTAATACAGATTGTAAGACTGTAATTCCCTTCTCTCTCAATTCCAATTGCCATCCATCAGGCCCACCAGTAGCCTAAAGTGACAGGGCTGTCAGCCATGAACTGAAACCTTAAAACTATGAGCCAAAAGACCTCAAGTCAGCTGCCTTGGATACGTCTTTATTCAGGAGACTAACCAACATGATAAAGTACAGCAATAATGCTTTCCTGCAGTCGTAGGGAACACTGACTTGAACTACAGTGCATTTCAAGTGCAAATGAAAGGCCAGAAGCATCTGTACCTGTGGGAAACTCTCTCCTGTGAGGTCCAGGTGTGGTGTCTGATTTCTGGGAACCTGTACCTGGCCGACTCCAACTCACTGTTTCATCAGGAGGCATTGCGTGTCATGCAGCTTTCAGATTGTCACATGCCAATGGGCTTTCTCAGAGTGAAAAAGACCACTATACAGTCTGTGAGCAGAGCCTTGGGTAGATACCCTCATCACTTCATCCCAGGTAGTGCTGACTCTGCATTTTTTCTTTTTTGCACAACTTTTGACTCTTTCTTCTCCTTTCAGCCACACTGTTATGCTCTGGTCACCATCCTTCATGAATTCATCTAACATGCTTACTCCCTCCACTTTCCTGCTTCTCCTTAGTGTTACTGGGAGGTAGAACTGAGTATCTTGGCACTGTCTCACACTTCTGGTGTGGGAGAACAAGCTTGCAACTCTGTGGCACAAGGCCCTCAGAGTCTTGGCCTTGTCTTCGCTGTAAGGTTATGAATCCTCGAAGGTGTGACTTGTTGCTTTTC